CTGATTCTATTTCTCTTTTTCCTGCAGGTTGCTGAAAAGTGCCTTTCCTGAAGCCACCGCTGCTTGGATTTCTGTCTAGGGCTGCCTCTCTCTGCCCCTCGCCCCCCTCTCTTTTTAATTCGGCGTTGCTTGCGGTTCGTGCCCTGACGGCAACTCCTCCAGCCTTGCCCTTTTTTTTTTTTTTTTTTTTTTTTGGCCCCCCCTTTCTTTCCGGCCTTAAGCCAGCGCCCGCGGCAGTTTGCTCAGCCATTTTTTTCCTTCCCCCGAGTATGTAGCAAATATTTAAAAGAAAAGAAAGAAAAAAATCAGATGTCCTTTTGCTCGTTTTGATGCTCACGAACCGTAATTTTTAGAAGCAAGAAATAGAAAAAAAAAAAAAATCCCTGAAGTTTTCTCTCCAAGGACTGAGACCATTCCACAAACTGAAGTGCTGCCAGCAGCATATGCTTTTTGCAAGAATAATTGAAACCATTAACTGGAGAGCACAGAATTCTTTTGAAAGTCTGCCAGTTATTTGCAAGTAACTTCGGCAGTGGCACAAAATATAACGCTTATATTTTAACTTCTACAATTGCACTTTTAGGAGCTGGCCTCTAATTTGATTTTCAGTTGTTCTGATAAGATTTCTATTTTATGATTGGCTTTATGTTTAATTCTTGTTTAAACAAACACGATTTGACTTAAATGAAAACCTAAGTGCTGATGAATAGGAGTTCTACCAAAGCAACAAGTTAGTTATTTCTTCACGTTTAACTTGAATTCACTTTTTTACCCTTTTTTTAAAAAAAAGAAGAAAACAAAAGATCAGCAGTAAATATTGCCCTGAAGAAGGGTGTGATTGCTTGCATTTTAATTTTTGTTTTTTAATATGGCTGTAAACGTTTCCCTGGTTCGTGATACAAAATGGCTGACGTTAGAAGTGTGTCGAGAGTTTCAGAGAGGTACTTGTTCTCGGTCTGATGCAGAGTGCAAGTTCGCCCATCCGTCACGGAGTTGCCATGTGGAAAATGGTCGAGTTATTGCCTGCTTTGACTCCCTAAAGGTGAGGACTGTCTAACGTGTGCATTACCTAAGCTCACTTGCTTTTCCTTCTCTTCCGAATGGCTCAGCGTGCTGGGTTGTGGGATGTGCAGAACAACTGTTTGTTGCTCTGTTTCTGCAGGGAGGATGCTGCTGGTGTGGGATGTAGCTCCTGAAATCTAGGTTGCTTCTGACATCAAGTGCAATTGCCCGGAGTGCCAGGCATCACAGGGAGAGAGGGGATTTTATCCAGAGCGTGTTTTCCGATGGTAGCTCGGGTCTGATACAGCTGTACTTGAAATGGAGAATGCACATCGTGGGCAGCAAATGACACTGAAATGAGAAAAGTACAGAACTGAAACCCAGTGCTTTAATTTGTGTCTAGAGCACATCGGCTGCGCATTCGGCACAAAGATCCCAAATGTGCTTTTAATGAGCAGAAATGAAAGCACCATTTTAAGATAATGAATCATCTTTATGTGTATTTCCTGGAGACAGAGTTGCAGATGTGCTCTTATGCTGTCCTGTAGATGAGGAACAGCCAAAATATTTGGAGAGCGGTGCTCCCAGAAAAATGGGTGTTGGGAAAATGCTTTCTGTAAGGGACATGCAAACGCGATGGGTCTGCTAGGCCTGTCCAAGTTACAGCTGAGCTTTTTTGCTAGTGCTCATCTTTGCAGAGTCCATTTTTCAGGCAGTAAATGGCTCTTGCTTGCTTGTCACTGTTGGTGACTTTCAGAATTTACCAAATACCCAGGGTCTGAGTTGGGACTGGGGACTTGCAGGAGGGCAAGCGGGCATCTCTGTTCGGGGTCACTTTACCACAGTTCTCAGGACAGGAACATCCACTTTTTTTTTTTCTTTCCCCCAAAAATGTGGCTCCTCAAAGGTGTTTTGGATAGGATGGTAAAAACCTTGAGACTGTATGGCTAACTGATTGCTTTTGAGAACTCTTGACATTGTGTTTAATGTTTTGATCAGAGTAATTAACCTGTTTGAGTTTCTAGAAGGAATCTGGTAAATTTTACAAGCTTAAAAGTTTTCCCTTGTACTTCAACTGTTGCTTGAAAAGATGTGGATTTATTTTTATGAACATAATGAGTAACAGAAATGGTGGAATTATGTATACACAGGTTCAGACCAGGGCTGGATCCAGTCTAATACGGGTTTACCCATTTTATTACTGTTTGTGGCTTTTTCGAATTTTCACTTCTGTTCCCTTCTACCAAGAAGCTCAAGCTTCCTATTTGCATGCGGTTTTGCTCTTTTTAATCTTATTATGTGCAATGACTCCTAGTTATACAGTGACTTTCAAATGTTCATTTACATTGCTGGTTTGCTGACAGCAAAAGACAGAAATATTTTTATTGGAGGGAAAAACAGTCGTGTTCTTTATGCCCTTGAAACTTTTGAATTGTAGCCAGTGGCAGTGCAGATACTTTCAATGAAGAGGTTAATATGTTTACATTTTATAACATTTATTTGTGAACTGGAAGGAGTGCTGTCATGTTGCATAGGGTAGTACCAAGTCCCTTGCAGAACTTGCCTGATGTTTGCCGTGTCATAGAATCATAGAATCATTTTTGTTGGCAAAGACCTTTAAGATCATCAAGTCCAACTATGTCCTGGGGAGGTGTCCCCTGTGCGACCGCCCAGCTTGGCTTGACTCTGAGCTGCGCTGTAGTCCAGCGTCCAGCGTCACCCGGTGGGTGACACTTCCTCATGTGTGCTAATTGGGGTGCACTGTTTGCAGCATGCCCAGGTGCTCCATGCTGGCCCTTCTCTGCACAGCTGGGCCCGTGAGATGTGCAGGACCAAGCGTATGGGTAGTTGGGGTTCAAATCCCACCCACTGGTATGAGCAGGCATGTCTCCTGCTTCAGTGGTGGGGAGTGGGATGGGGAGCATCATGTTGAGAAAGCAAAAAATGCCAAAGGAGTAGGGTATGAACTTCTACAGCTCTGTGTGTTTCCTGTGTAACTGGCTGTTAAATAATGTTCTCGTTGCAGTTTCCTCTTGACACAGTAGCAGATGCCCAGTATGTGCTAGTTAAGTGGCCTGAATTTTCCAGGGAACAGATTTTCCAGGCTTAGGAAAGCCTTGTGGAAGGCTGACACCTCTGCCTTTAGGAAGTACACCAGGAGGAGAGGCCAGACTGCCAGGGGTTGATGCTGGGGCTGTTTCTGCATCCCACTTCTCAAACAAGAAGTGGGACTTGAAGCCCGCCCTTCCTCCAGCCCCATGGTTGTGGTTGCTCTCTGGGCAGAGCCCTGGTTCTGCTACGCCATGGAGAGATGCAGTCCCCAATGCCACAGCCTCCATTTGTGTGTGTACACCATGCCTTTCCCACTGGACATAACCGCCCTGGTGACTAAACTCTTGAACAATGGTCTTTCTGTTCTTGGGCTGGAGCTGGGCTTGCACAGCCCTGTTTGCAATGGTATCGAGGGGCTACTGGTCGTAACAGTGGCCTCCCTTCCTGGTGATGAGAGATGTTACATTCTCAGACCTGTTAAGAGGAGGCTTTTCATGCCCGTCCTGTGGACATCTTTGTGTGTTCAGCTGCTGTTTCCCTCCAACAGCTGTTGAACACTGACCCTCTCTCCTGCGAAGGGCTCGATAGCTGCTTAGTGCTCTCTTCATCTTTTCACGCCCTGCATTAGCAGAACATCTGTGTTGCTTTATTGGAGAGAGGATATAGGATGCTTGCAGCTAATAAGTTTTCCCGTTGTCTTGCAGTTGCCCAGGGCTTTGTTCAGAGGTTGCTTATCTGCATCCATTGTGTACTGCTGTTGCTTGTTTTTTTTTTTTCTCACAGAACTCTTAAGCCTGAACAATGCGTTCATGCAGGAACTTCTGATAACCCAGAGTACAATGGTTTCACCTCACTGGTCAGGTCACGCACAGCATCTATATGCTTACTGCATCTCACTTCCCCCCCCCAATCTCATAGGAGTTCTGCCTCTGTTGCGGCAGTAAGAGCAGTAATGCTTCCAGAAGCAGTCAGGCTGCCTCAGTGTGGGTTGTTTCACCCTGTAAGCTTGTGAAGCACACACAGGACTCCTGAAGAGGTAATTGTGGGGGGCTTCACTGATGCTCAGGTGAGGTTCACCAGGGCATGCTGTCTGTGGGAGCGTTGTGCAGTGCTTTGGTCATGAAATATTAAGTCTTGATTAGGTTGCAAGTCCAGGGCTGGATCTTGCTGTCCTTGGAAGGGGGAGTTTGCACATTTGTAGGCAGCAGAAGGAACCTTTTTCAAGCAGATTGATGTGAAACTTAAAAATAGTTCCTTGTGAGAAGCTGTTCACAGATTTGAATTGGATGCCAAGAGAGCTCTTGCTCTCTACTCGCGCTTCCCCCCTCGTTATTCTGGAAGAACAGTGTTGTCTGAATTAATTTGTGTGAATGGAAGGGCAAGCCTGCACCGCTTGATGGAGGGCAGTCCAGAGGCACGAGAGCCAGCCCTTGCTGGGCCACCTCTCCTCCAGAAGTGACCACGAGGGCTGCTGGGCAGCAGTTGATGCTCTGCAGTGCCACCTGGGCAAGTCCCATATAACCTCTGAGATGTTTTGAGCAAAGGAGAAGAGCGTACTGTCATCGCTGTAAACCCAGATGGCCTTTGGGTTCATTCATCGGCTTCTCTCCCGGGCTTGGTGTGCACCATCCCGTGCATAGCTGGTGCTTTTTGCAAGGCTCAGGACACGGTTTGCTGCCTCATGGCAATTCGTACAAAGGCTTGTCGTGGCGCTGCGGTGGGCTGTCTGCTAGCGCTCAAGTCATTAGCCTTTCTATTCAGGCTGGATCAGGCAGGCGTGGTATGAGCCTGTCTGATTCTTAATTCCCTGGCCAGCAAATTGTTAGTTGTGTTCTTTTGGTTTCTGAAGATGTCAGGAATGAAAAAAAGCACCTTCTTTGGTTACTAGAAACACTAATTGAGCAGTAAGCTGAGAGACTGTTATTAGGAGATAGTGACATATTATATAAAAATATGCAGGTAATGCACACCAGGTGTTCACAGAGGCTTTGCTTTATACTGCTCACAGTTTGGGTATCTGCACTATGGACTCAGGGTTTAAAAAAAAATTACAAACCCAGCTTTGTGGGGCATTTTTTTTTTTTTAAATTTGCATTATGAATGTAGATGTTTCCATATGCAAATCAAAGTTCTGAAGAGCATTTTGAAAGACAGAAAGTAGTGTGGTGAAAAATTCAGGAGTATAAGTTTTGACTTTGAGAGGTCTAATTTAAAAAATGTCGTTAAGCTATTGGGTGTTTCAGAGAAGTTTTCTTCCATATTAAAAAAAAAGAGGCAAGTTGTCTGAGAACAGGCATAAAATAAGGAGTTGAAAGTACAGTTTTGTCTAAATTGCCTGGTTTCTAAAAGAAGTGTTATTATCTGGTAATAGTATTCAAAGTCTTACAACAATCTAAAAAGTTCCCTGTGCTTGGGTAATAAATGTACCATATGATCTTGAAACTGGTGTACCTGAGGCTGTTCCTTCTAGTTTTCATGCTAATTTATACCTGTTTTATGCTGACTCCACTAGAATTATTTCTGTTACTGGTTTGCAATCAAATCTTTTTTTTCTTTTTTTTTTTTTAATTTAAATAAATGCCAAACTGGGAAACAACTAAAAACACCCACTAAACTTAGCATATGGTTACGCTCTTACAGAGGAAGAAGAAAGCAAACAAAGCCATAGAGATATTTTTGGAGACACTCTGACTGCGTGTCTCAGCTCATTGTAATGGAGATGCAAATACCAGAGGAACAATATTGAGCCAAGTCACCTTTGTGAGAAACCTTTACTTTCCATCAGTCATTATGGCACTTACCTGTGTAACAACAGCATTTGTGGGAAGAAGTAGATTTGCAGCCGCTTTGTCTTGTCTGGATGCTTGTGTGTCTTACAGCACATCATCAGTGATTTTTATAACTACTGAATCAAACATATAAAAGCGGGGAAAACATATTTAGACTTATTTATATAAGAACTGTTGCTATTGTATTTCTCTTAGAGTG